TCTTGTCCTGGTTGCCCAAATGCCTTTGGACACGGTTTCTGGCTCGGATACGTTCAGGAAATAGGGCGGGCGGAACACCTATTTAAGTGAAAAAACACTCCCGCAAGAATGCGCCTCAAGAACAGAAAACAAACGGTTGTCTAGTGGTGGTGACTCCTCATCGCTTGGACTTGCTTTGGTCACAGAGGGAACAATCATGAATTTTCAAGATGCAACAGCATTAATGAATCTGGGCTGTGAAGCTTAATAGGCTTGAAATGAAGCATGCCAAGGGTAGAATAGAGAGCCGGCCGTTCACTTTCTGTTTCCCCTTACAAGTGAAAGAAGTTAATGGGCAGCAGATTTGCAGCGGCCTAACTACTGGGCTGCCCATTTCACCGCAGAAGAAAACAGCGCTGGAGACCAGTCCATAGCAGAACTTAAAAACTGAGCCAGCTACACTCTGTACCTGTGCGGGTTCTCCCTGTCAGCGGGCATCACTGCGCCTGCCCTGGAAACACTTCCCTGGTTGGCTACAGACCGAAATGATAAAATCTAAAACGTTATGGAATCATTGTAAAAAAAAAAAAAAAAAATTGCAGATCTAGACAATTCTATCACTCACCGTGTCACACATACAAAAGCATACAGAGGACAGGGAGGACTTGGTAGGTTAAATGGTTTCAGCGAGAGTGGAAAGGGAATGAGACAATAGTAGGAGGTGAAAGAGGACCAGAAATTATGTACAGAATTTTCACAGAATTATTTTAAAGAAAAAAAAAAAAAAAAGAAGAAAAAAAAAAAAAAAAAAAAAAAAATATTTGAAAGCTCTGGATGAGCTTTTCTTAAAAAAAAAACATCATTTTAAATTTTTTTCTTAGATTTTTTTAAAATATGGAACAAACTTTAAATTATTTATTATTGAGCAAAACTTGCAACACCTTCCAGGTGGGAGAACTCTTTACCTCGTGGCATTAGGTTTCTGTTGTTTGAACCCTCTTAATTCAAAAATCCTGGTGACCCTTGCTATTTTTTGTTGAAAAAAAAATCCATTTGACACCTAGCTAATTGGAAAAGCAAATTCGTGCCTGTGTTATCATGGTTTGGTATCTTAATATACATCCATTTCGTAGGCATATCCTCGGGATAACTCGATTATTTCCAGTAAATCTGCCAAAAGTAATTTAAGAAATAATAGGCGTTGATGAAGACTGTTTTCAGTTAAAGTGCTAAAGTTTCCCTTCTGGTGGCCATCATATGGCAATGTTTCTCTTCAGGGCCCATCACACACAGGAGCTGCCTAACTTTCCACCGTGGACCTAATAACAATTCTTCTACCATGGGAGAGGAAGATATTTAGTAGCTCATGAACACTTAATGAGATTCAAGCTTCACACTGAATGCTTTCGGTTGCCTCATTTAATCCTCACACCAATTTTCAGGGAGAGGAGTGATTCTCATCATTAGCAAACCCAGGCCATTTCTCACTGGCACACAGCTACAGGACTGTGGTTCCAGAGCTTGAGTCCACGCACCCTAACTCCAGAACTTTAGTAAATGTATACTAAATGTGTTATACTAAATATTTATTTTATATAAACTTATTCATTTTACATTTATAAACTAAACTTATTTAGTATACAAATAAATGGATGTATTTAGTATACAATAAATAAAAATATACTAAATAAATTTATTTAATAGAAATATAAATTTCTACTAAATAATACTAGTGGATTAGATTAAGTCCAACACAAACTTTAAGGTAAACTTTGTGTGTGTGTGTGTTTTTTTTAATTATTTATTATGTAGACAATGTTCCGTGTGCAGGTACATCTCCGTGCCAGAAGAGGGCACCAGATCTCATTACAGATGGTTGTGAGCCACTGTGTGGTTGCTAGGAATTGAACTGAAGACCTCTGGAAGAGCAGCCAGTGCTCTTAACCTCTGAGCCATCTCTCCAGCCCGTGTGTTTGTTTTTTAAGACTATGCACCAGCAGTACCAACTGTCTTTGTTCCTTTTTTATTGTTGTGAAAGGTAATCATGACCAAAGCAAGTTAAAGAAGAAAAGGTTGAGGGGGGCAGTTTCTGGAGGTGAGAGCCCATGATAGTCTTTATGGGGAGCAGGGCAGCAGGCAAGCAGGCATAACTGAGAACTTCCAACTTGATCCACAATCACAGTGCAGAGAAAGCGAACTGGGAAGAACACGGGAACGGGCGGTAGAAACCCCACCAGTGACACACTTCATCCAGTGCGGTGACACCTTCCATTCCTTCCCAAACAGTTTTGCCGACTGGGGACCAAGTATTGAAAAATATGAGCCTGTGGAGGCCATACTTGTTCAAACCACCAAACCGATTATCTGGCCTCACTCCATAGACTCGACCTCACAAATTCTTAGTCACTTTGGTGCTCAACTCCCTACTCATTTTTAAACACCAAATGGGATCTGATCAGATCAGGTTTCATTTAAAATGGCAAAAGTCTAGAGTTTAATGGTTCCTGGCCAGATGTCTCACGGAATAATCACCTTTTAAGACTGGGCATTTGTGTTTGCTAGACTTTGGTTTATTCAATGACCTGTCTTCTTACTAGTCAGAATAAACAAAGGGAAGTACTCTGTTTGTGTGTGTGTGTGTGCACGCGCTCATGCACGCATATGTGCATTGGACAGCAATCTATTTTAGTTTATGGTAGTTCAGAAGTTTATGGTATTCAGAAAATGAGTACAGATTCTAATGCGATCCTCCAGCAATAGCTGACTTTTCAATCTCTACATTTTCATTGATTTGACAGGAAGATCAATAAATTAAAAAAAAAATCATAACTGCCCATAGCAATGCTACTGTTAGTGATCTTATCACCACTGAGGTTTTAACTCCAGGAGGATACACACACACACTTAAATTGGAAGCACAAGTCAGCACCCAGCAAAGAAAGGAAAGGAAAGGGTCTCACTACTGACCACTTTGATCATATTATTAGAATACCTTAACAGTATGTTATATGATATTTACAATTTTTGTTGTCTAATGAAATGCATTGTTTTACACGTGTCTGTATCTACATGCATAAGTACACACACAAACACAAATATGTATATATACATATGTAGACTGATTATATTTTGAAAACTAAGTATTTGGGGGAAATACTATTTGGAAAGTATTTATTATGAGTTTGAAGTGCCTGAGCATTAATCAATACTTACTGGTTATTTTGGGAAGTCCATTGGCTCTTACAGACAGGCAGAGGCTACACAGTGGATTAACCAGGGGGCATGGGATGTACATCAGAAGATTTTTGAATGCAGGTAAGGGAGCCTGAGTAATGTCTAGTGGGGATGAACTCTGATCCCACAGAATACTATTTTTCTAGATATTTGGGGAATTTTGAAACTGGAACTGAGAGAAGACATGAAAACCAAACCCAGTAAGCATGTGTTATTTCGTGTTTGTTACACAATCACCCGAAGCACATATGAGAAAGGGAATCCCTTGCCGGTGGACTAATGGGTCACAGGAATGAGGTTCCATTTCTTCAACTTCTGCTGACTGATTTTGAGGGAGGGCCTCACTCTGGGGTGCAGAGTGCCTTTGAAGCTGTAGTCCTCCTGCCTCAGGCTTTGAGAGGTGGGAAAAGAGACATGTACCACCTTGCCCTATTCTTGATCATTAAACTTCCTTATCATTTGTCCTTTCCCCTTGGAGCTGCCATGTTTCTTCATTTGACATTTACTCAGTGATGCTTGCGGGCATCCAGGCTCTTCCAGCCCTGTGCAAGCCGCCTTGTCATGTAGACAGACGGCCCTCCTTCTGGTGGCATCGGCTTAGTCCGATTCTTGCTAGACAGGGATGTTCCAGTATTTGCTGATTTGGACTGATTTCTGCAAAGGGCTCTAACCACAAACCCAGCCATCTTTCCCTTCTTTGAAATTCTCTAAGGTGCTGAGGCACTTGAAAATGGCATGTATTTCTTGAAACTAACACTAATCTTGAGTGATGAGGCTAGAGAAGCGGACTAACTCCGGGCCACCTCTCCTAGAAAGAAATAGCATAAAATGACTTAATATGGATTCATACAAGAAGAAAAAAAACTAAAATAAGTATCTTGAGTTCTCTATTAGAGTCAGTCTCCAGTGTTCAAACATCCTAATTTAGCTTAGACAAAATAGCCCACATTCCATTTCTAAGGAGACAGCCTGCCTCCCCACCGCCGTTTCCTTCATACTTCCTTGCCCACCACAGTCTAGTCTCTCATTTTATCTTTTGCCATAGTCTTACTCTCTCCCCCCCACCCCCAAACACACACACAAAAAATCATAATGAATAACTTCCTTTAATCAGGAATCTTCTTAAACGATCAAGAAAAACCCTTAGCAGCGCTTGTCTGAGATGAGGACGCCCCAGTGATGAGAAGGATCCATGGCCAAGTCCAGGCGTCCAGTGGCAAGAAAGGGATTTATCCGACACGCTGACTTCCTTGCGGGTCTGATCCCTTCTGCGCGGCTGGAAAAAGGCAAGCAGCCTCCCTTGAAGGAGTCAAAGCCCGGGCACTTTTAAAGTGTTCCTCCTACCCAGACCCGAGCGAAGTCCAGGGGGTATGAAGGCGGGGCCACTAGGCTGGCGACACCCTCCTGAAAGTCCAGTCCCGCCCTCCCCACCACCTTAAGGATTTGGTACTTGAAGCAAGATCGCCCTCTTAGTGTAAGGCAGATGTCCCTTTAAGGTTTGCTTTGCTGCTGCCCGTGGACTTTAGCCTAAACACCATCCCGCGAAGTTGGCTTTATTTGTCCATGTCTCGGATAGAGCCTGGGAGGCTGCCAGTGAGATTTCAGAGAACCAGCGCGCTAAGGGGCGGGAGATGTGGCAATCGGTTTGGGATGTGAAAAGCGTGGAGCAGGCTTAGAGGCATTCGACCAAAACACAGGAAATCGCTCCTCGGCGACTCTTGGGCGCTGCAGCCGCTGGGGCCACCACTGGACACCCGCAGAGACCGCCCAAGTGACCCAGAGTGCAAGGCACCAGCGACCGGTCCTGCCAGCTCCTGCCAGCTCCTGCCCAGGAACCAGCACGTCAAGGGAACTGCGGTGACTCCAGCCATGGTCTCCAGGCGCCCTGCCAGCCTAGAGGTCACTGTAGCCTGGTGCTGGCTCCTTACCGGTGAGCGACCCTGCTTTCCTGATCATCTCTAGTGGGGCTTGGTTGGGGCTTGCCTAAGGGGTGATGACGCAGGGAACAGAGGATCAGACAGGACAGGCTCTCAGGTGGACCGGCCAGGTCACAGTACTGAAGGAAGCGCCTGTGGCCAGCTGGAGAGTGAGGGAGGCAGTGCGGAGAACTTTCCAAGTACAAGAGGCTTTTCGAATTAAAGTTGTTTTTATGTTGTGAGCTGTGTTTTAAGTATTTGAACTTTTGGAAAGGAGAGTAGCCGGGGACGCCTGACTAGTGTACTCTGTTGCTGCCCTAGGGTTGCTCAGAAGCGGGCTTTATAGCATGTTCTTCCTGTTTAAAACTTAGGACCCTTTTTTGCTACAGAACAAGGAAAGACAGGCAAAACTACTTCTTGTCTCAATGTGACGTTTCTACATTAGCTCCTAAGAGGCAGAAAACTTTGAAATCGGAACATTTAGTATTCAATTATTACAATGCAGTCTTTCAAATACAAAATGTGTTTTCAGGAAGACTTAGTATGGTCGAAATGCAGTGTTAGATCCAATTGCGAGAAACTGAGAGACGTTTGGATTGTCCAAATGGCAGCAGTAGCTGGGGTCACAACCTTTGTAGTAGTTTCCAGTTGGGGAGGTGAAACTGAGCCCGTGGTGGGGGGAGGAGGTGCTAGAAGCAACAGATTATCACCTTGTTAGCCCTTTAATTGCTGGTTGTCTTTAACAAGGCATGATATTCAGTTGTTTGATGTTTTCATTGTTGGCATGCTTCACTAGTTAATTTCACATTTGACTGTTAACCACCAGGTCAGCCAACCCAGCACTGGGTGACTAACCACTGAGAACCCTTAGGTTCACATCAAGCAAGCCCATCTTTTCTCCCAGTGAAGCAGTAGAGGGAAATTAATAAAGAGCTATGGGCTTTTCCATCCACACGTTTCCCACTCCTCAGGAAAAGTCCAATAACCCAAGCAGTGGTAACTTGTGAAGAGCTATCTCTACAGACCAGGGAATGGCTCTACCTACTAGCTATGGCTGTGACCCTTGTTGCAAGCTTGACCTGGGGTTCTTTTCCAATCCCTGCTTTCAGAGATTGGATCTTGTTGTTTTGCAAAATTTGAGTTGTTTACCAATTACTCAAGCTGTATCTTTCTTTCTTTTCTTTACCAAACATTCGGTCCCTGCAGAAGTGAGGTCTGTGTATTCTCTAAAGAATGACAGTTTTCCAAGAGGGGCGGGGATGATAGAGTTACAAGTTCATGGCTGTTTGAGAATTAAAGGAGAAAAGGCGGAAGATATGTCTAAAGGATGTTCAGGTTTTATCGTGTGTATGATATTCAGAGCGTTGTTGACCCAGGGAGGACAGTTTCCTTATGTGTAGGGTATTTATGTCCATTTCACAAGATGGCATTAAGGATCTCAGGTCTGACTTTTCTCTTATCAATTGCTCATACTTGGAAACCTCTCAGCAATTTACAGAACTGCATTTAACTTGGTGTCTTACGGACGTACCCACTTGCATATGATATTAGAGAGCCTATGTTGTTTCCCAACTTCTAATCCTCTGTATCTATTTTAAGTAGACCCTGTGAGGTAGTTCATGGTGGACTCAGATAAAATACAAAATTCTCAACCAATTGACCCAATCAGAATCCTATATTCCTTTCCTATTACTGCTGCAACAAGTTGCCATTGATTTATTGGCTTAAACCAAAATATGAAATATTTATTGTTTTACAGTACTGTAGGTTTTAAGTCACACTGCGATAAAATCAAGGTCCCTCCTAAGGCATTTCCTGTGAAGGGCCTAGAGTGGTTTTCTAGTTTTCCTCTCTGACTCCTTCAAGGTCACGTCTTCTCCAAGTCTACCTGCCCAGGGGCCCTGTATCGATCTGGTACCTCTCTTCAGATCCCTGTTCAATTACATCTGTCAAATCCATTTTTTAAAAAAAAAAATCTAAGGTAACATACTCAGCATTCATGGAGCAGGGCAAGGACATCTTTGGCGGACCACTATTATTCTGCCTTTCCCAACCCTTGCACAAAGCATCCATTACATCCAGCCACATTTCCTTACACTGCTCACAATCCTCTTGCTCTTCTTGCCACTGTCGATATGATCTTGTTGTTTTATGCATCTACAAAAGAACCCGCCCTTCCTTCCCACTACCCCCTGTCTTCTAAACAAACTCTCTCCGGCTTGGCTTTCAAAGCTATGCATAGATCATAACAAACCACCACCATTCTGAATAACTTCCCAAGGATTTACAACTACTTGGGTTAGTTTCTTCCAACATACATTAAACGATTTGCCAAAAACAATGTTCTCATTTATACCTAAATAAAGTCATTTTCACTGTTTTAGATATGTCTGAGTCCCGGTGTAATATATGATGAACACGGAGGGTTTAACTGAAGGGAGTTCCAAAAACAGACCACGTGAAGGAGGCCTTAGGGAACCAACAAAGGCAGGACACCTGGGATAAGCAAGGGTAGATAGAAATCACTTGAAACAGTAGACCTGAAAAGAAGCCTTGAGGAACCTGAATACTGGAAGGAGGCTGCTGTATCAAAGCGCTGGATCCAGGGAGATAGCAACTGAATCAAAGTTGAAACCCAGACAAGAAGAAATAGAGGAAATAAAATATACCTTCTCTCCTTCTCCATGTAATATCTTGCCCATTGCTATCGCTGGAAATACCCAAATGGTTAGATTATGCACTCCGATAGATGATTACAATAACTAGCACAGATTAACACTGGAACTTACTACACAAAAGGCCCTGGGCCAAGAGCTTTGTAATGTTTTATCCTAATCTAAGAAAGTAAAAGTTTGCATACACATCTTCCATATTTTGAAGATGAAAAACAAAAAAAAAAATACTAAGGTTAAATGCACTCGGCCAAAGTCTCACAGCTAATACGTGACAAATGACTTCAATTTGCACCTCTGACCTCAAGTTTCCTGCTGCGAACAGAGCCTAAATGCAAGCTCATTTTCCTCTTGCTCTCAACTCCATGAGTCAAATGCAAATTCAGACAGCTAGAATACTTGAGTAAGGCCATATCTAGGTCATGAAACAAGTGTTATTTCCATGATCATCGGTGTATAGTGAAATTAAACGATAGTACACTCTCCCTTAAGAGGAATCTAAACAAGATTACTTCCACCTCAGTTCATTCAGACCAGGATCTAGAAACGCCCCTGGTGGAGGCCATTCCTCCCTAGAAGCATGGGTCATCTTCTGAGCCTTTTTTCCCGTGCCAGCATTTCCTATTCACAGTGAAGCCCAGTGAGGAGGTGGCTGAACACGGGGAGGCAGTCACTGATCCAAAGCAAATGAATGAACCCCAGTGGCAGGCATGCATCAGCCAGCCGGAGAGACCAAACTGGGGGGACATTTCTCTTATTCAATGATGTCCAAAAGGCAACAATGAATTCACTAGGACTTGTTTATTTGTTTAGTTACAAGGCAACGAGAGGAAAAAAATATATATACCAAACAAGTTTGTTTTGTTCTAGTTGGTCTTGATGCGAATATTGATAGTTCATATTAAGACAAGTAAAACCTACCTCTCGACTGTCTCTGAGGGTTATGTTTTCAACCCTCACTGTTGATTAGAGGATTAGATCACGGAGGTTCTAACTTAATGATTTGATCAAGAGATGGATGTGAAATCTGAACAAATTATTGAGACGTGGTGGAATCTGCTCTGTGGTTACAGGAAGGAGGTTCTTAGAGAGGAGTCCTTGGGGACTGTATTTTGTCCCCAAGGCCACAGCTTTCTGCCCACCATGATGTGACCTGCTGTTCCTCTGTTAATAGAATAAGTTAGTTGTACGTTACGTTTTCCGAGACTTAGAATCCAAACCCTATTCTTCATAACTGCTCTTCCGATACAGGAAGCACAAAATCGCGTATGTGAGTTCATGCTGAGCAACTGGGATCAAAGATGTTTTGGAACCGTTGCCCACAGTGCTAAAGTCAGAATAGACGGCCTGTTCAGGGTCGTCTGTGACTGCAGAACTGTATTCATTCTCAAAACAAGGACAGCAAAGTCCCAAGAGAGGCAAATGAGATGAATATATTCCTTTCCTCAAGGTTGCTGAACCCCTTTCAGACATCTGTGAGCCAACCCTTCTGAAGTTGCCTCTGGGCCTTTACGTGAGCAGTTGCTCCCTCTGCTATAGATCCTTAACTCCCATGCAAACGTGATTCCCAAGTGACTCACTGATGATCTGCACTTCCGCAGACACCAGCGTGCTCCAGCACCTTTGTTTCTATAAAACCCCACACCATACGACATGATAATGAAATAGGTAGCTGTCTTCCAGCATGTACGCTCTGTAAGTACTGTGTATGTTTTACCCTTAGTATCTAAGACTAATTGACACTTTTTTCTTGGTAAATTAAAATAATGGACTACAGATAAACTTTTAAACTACTTAAAAGATGAGCCAGCCCCTTTAAGTATATTCTTGGCCATATTTGACCATAATGAATAATACCACTGTTAGGTCTCAAATTTGGGATAAATGCCTAACCATTTACCATATCAAAATGGCTTCCAGGTCCTCCCAACATCCCTCAATTCCTTACTTGTTACAGTGTATGGCTGGCATACCATGCCCTCTACCCTAAACTTCTGCAGGCCAATCCGCCTTCTCCTAGTTACCCTCCCCTATATAATGCAGCCATTTTGGTTATCTAGCCCTTCTGTCCACTCTTTACCCTCATGGCCTCTTGGTTTGCTGGCTCTCCCCTCCTCTTCTAACATGGCCTCACTTTCTCCCCCACTATCCTTAGGAATAGTCATGCCCTCCCTTCTTTATGTCATTTCTCACCCGCCCACCAATGAAGACTACATCATGTGATGTCACACTAGACAATGTGAGCACTGAAACAATCAGTTTGCAGTTTGCTAGGTTGTCACCAACATCCTATTAGAGAAATGTTGAAATGACAAAGACAATGGCACATCAGAAGATTACACCCAACACACAGTTATTGCCGGGCCCATCTCTGTCGCATTTCTCGGTCCATGAGCAGACAGCATCTTGTTTGAACATGGTAGCTCGTGCCTCTGTTCCATTACTTAGAAGGCAGAAGCAAGTCGATTTCTAGAAACTCAAGGCCAGGCTAGTTTATATGCTGTGTTCCAAGACAGCCAGGGCTACATAGTGAGACCCTCTCTTAAAACAAAACAACCCCCTTCCCAAACAAAATCAGCAAAGGAAAATCAAACATGAGAACTGGACCTTAAGGTTTCAAAGACAACACTGGGGTGCTCCCTCTTCTCAGTTTTTGTCTCTGACAATCTTGTATATGATGAAGGCATGATTGCCCCTCTGGCATCTGCAGCCTCACCATTTCTTCCAAACAGAGCTGCCTGGGGACAGCTACCTTTGGGAGGAAGGGGAGATAGCGCTGGGGATCAATGGCTCCAGTGGTGGCTGACTATGGACTTCCTGGCATGCTCCTGAGTGATGGCGCTGGGAGTGTATGAAGGACCCATTTGTAATCTGATCTTTTCTGTGACTTAAAAAGTCAGCTATGTGTTACTTGGTTTTTCTCTTCCAGTAAAGGTTTTTTTTGTTTTTTGAGACAGGGTGTCTCTGTTGCTTTGGAACCTGTCCTGGAACTGTCAGTAAAGTTTTAAGAGAAACAGAAATGTGTACATGCTTATGCCCAGAACCTGCTTTCTCCAACAACCTGACTTCTATAAACATTAAGATCTCCATGGATAAATGGAAAATGATCATTTAAATATCAGGAATAAATCCACACATTCCTGGGTGACTTATGGGAGATCTGCTGAAATAAAAGACAAATCTTAATTTTTAATAGAGCGTCTAAATTGCATTAGGTCAGACGACTCAGATGGTTTTCATATTTTATTATAAGTTAGGTTTTGTGTGCATAAGATCCCATGTAGAGCAGATGAGTCTGAGACTTACTCTGTAGCTGAGGATGACCGAACTCCCGACACCTCTACAAGTGCTCACACCGCCTTAATACGAGCTAAATGTATTCCGAAAATTATTTCACTAACTATAGACTTTTAGCTGCGAAAACATTCGTTAAACATTTCATTATGCTATTTTTGGCAGACTATTCCTGTATTACACAGACACATACAAACAGAGAGACACACATTCCCATGCACACACTAGCACACACTAGCACACAGAGGTGGCAGTGGGTAGTGGTGGGATGGGGTGGGTGGTGGGTGGGCACCAGACATTTGACTTTGCCATGTCAGCATTTGTAGTTAAAAGAAACCTTAAATAGTGAGTATAAGACATTTCTTTTAAAAGGACTTTCCACTTTTCCCTGTCCCCTTTCCCCTATTAGCTGAGCAGCCCTCCCTGTCACACACTTTGCTTGTAGAGGTCACCAAGGAGCCTTTGTACAGCCTAAAGTTGGCATATTTTCTTTTTTTTTTAAATAACGTTTGTCCCCAGATATTCATAACCAGAGCTCTCACTGCTTATGTGTGCTGTAAAGGTCTCATTTTAAACCATGTATAAAAAATTTAACTGTCACTTATTACTTTAAAATATTGTAACACTTTGTTCAGGAAGATGTGTTTAAAATCACTGTTTTCCCATGTCAGTGCTGATATCTGAAAAACTGATGTTTTTATAGATGTTTGCCCTAAGTGTAGTCTTATGTATGTTGTTAGCAACAGCATCAAATGCAAATCAATTTCTTACATTTAAGATTTCAATGATGGTCAAGTTAAAAAACTCTAAATTAGGGAACAGTCACTCACTTTTTTGTGTGTGCCAGGAAAGTTTATCAACACAAGTTCACCACTTGTGCTGGGGAATAAAGAAGGTGGGCTGTGCCCTTCAGTGGTCTGGAAAACACAATAGACACAGGGAGGTAATGCTGGAATATACGCCTGGGGGGGGGGCGAGGCTTTAGCAAAGTAAGTTTCACCAGAAAGGGAAACAAAACCACAAACAACACCTCCTCCCACAAATCTATATAAATAAAATGGAATGAGTCTTTTTTTTTTTTTTCAAGACAGGGTTTCTCTGTAGCTTTGGAGCCTGTCCTGGAACTAGCTCTTGTAGACCAGGCTGGTCTCGAACTCACGGAGATCCGCCTGCCTCTGCACAAGGTCTTTAAGCACAATATTCACCCTTCAAGAGCCTAGAATCCTTGTTGCCGTCATACAATCCACTCCTTGCGTATTATTTTAACAGGAACTGTCCCCGCTCAGCAAACTAGGAGGCACACGACACACTGCATTCGCTAGCACAGCTAGGAAATGTGCTGCGGTACGTAACTGCACACAACCCGGACAGGGAACTCTCCCACGACAGTTAACTCCCGAAGCCATCCTGTTCAGATTCATCCTTACACTTACTTCGGTGGGAATCCGATTTCTAGCTTCGAGCTAAGCATTCTTAGGGATTTACCAGAGTGCCTTGTTTACAGAATGCTACAAATCGACCAGCGAGCATTTTCCTGTTAGAGCATCAAGACTGTCAATATGAGAAGAGGAACAATCTGTTTTTAATATAAAGTGAAAAAAAAACCAGAAATGCCTAGAGACTAACATTGGCAAACTCCAGCTTAAAAATGCCTCCCAAGTCTACCAATCTTTGTGCTTTTAGACCTGTTTGTCATCTATGTATTTTGTGTGTACATGTATGGGGGGAGCTCAAGTGTGCCACAGAGTGGGCGTGGAGGTTAGAGGACAGCTACCCATAGTCACTTCTCTCCTGCCTGGGCACCCAACTCAGGTTTGGCAGTGGGTACCTTTAGAGCCCTCTCACTGTCTTGTGGGCCCAGTTCACACCTTTTCTTGGTGCACAACCCCTCAACCCCAAATCACTAAATTGGGTTTCAGAAAGAGTCGGATTTAAGCGAGTGTACGAGATCGAAAACAAATATCATCAGTGTTAGTTTCCTTAGGTTGACCCAGCATAACCTTTACAACTGTAGCTGAAGCGAGTGACTTCAGTTCCCTCAGTCTTCAAGTAGAAGAAATTGAGTTTCCAGTAGACTGAGGGGGCCAAATGTCACAGTGGAAACAAGTGAAGGGCAGAGAGCTTTAGCTCTCTGGACATCCAGCCCAATCCGCCCAGAAACAACAGACTCAAGTTGTTTGATGGCGCCATCGTGACTGTTTTCTTCTGGAAAGATTAATATGAACATGATGGGAAAATGAGATGTAATTAAAAATATTCATGCGAAGTTTTCTGTTTTCAAAAGTCAAAAAGCACAAATGACAGCTTCAAGCAGCGAGACTACATCATGGTCTTTTTTTCCTTGAGGTTTTGATTCTTTGGCAAAAAAAAAAAAAAAAGGAAATAAAACCACCCATAACCATAGTAGTTTCTGACAGTCATGTTTATGTGAAATGAAATCATTTGATAACAATATCGGAGTGTTAAAGTGCATTTGGAACGTTATGATGGCTGTCACACTTTACCCCTGACAAGCTTACCATTGCCCATGACAGTGCAGACAAAGGACTTTGCCAGGACCATGGAAAGAAAACATCTTCGGTTCAGAGTTCAAAATGGCCAGATCATGCGCTCAAATTGAAATGGATGTGGTTTTAGGATGAGCTCTTTCAGTTGTTCCTTCCAGATAGGTACATGAAACCACGTGAGATAGGAAGTACTGACCACAGGATGAACAGGTACGGTATAAAGATTTCTAGGACACACTGGAAATGAAGGTTTTTCTCCTTGCAAAACAAAATGTGCCTCAAAACGAGAGTGCAACATTTACAGACAGAGCACTTCACCTTGAAAAGGACTTGTGATTGAAATTAGGAGCTGGGACCCCAAATAACTTAAAATAATGGTATCATTATTCATTTTAAAATGTACTAAAGGTAACATAAAATACTGGAGGGGGTATCTGATCACTGAACACTAAGTTCAAGTAAGAAAACAAAAACAAACAGAAAGTTCCTAGCCATTCTAGCTGTTGCAGAATGTGTTTCAGACCAAACTACATCTTTAAGAAATACTGTGATGTGCTCAACCACCAAGGGCACTGACATTTTATGACATTTTAAAAGGTAGTTTAGGGCTGGGGATCTAGCTCAGTAGGCAGAACTCTTCCATAGCCCCAGGTTTGAGCCTCATAAAAGCCTGGGAATATAGTGGCGCAGGCCTCTAATCCCAGCATTCAGGGGTGAAGGCAGGAAGATCAGAAAATCAAGATCATCCTTTACTATATACCCGGTTAGAGGCCATCTTTTTCTACATGAGACTCCACCTTGAAAAAAAAAATAATCAGTTCAAAGATTATTAGAGGAATCAGGAAATAGGAAGTAAAGTTGTTGTCAGGTTTCTGTGTGTCAAATTAGAAATAAATGCATGCATGTTTTTAAAGATTTCTCAAAAATAACAATGACTGACTGAGTAGATATAAAGCTGTGTGCAAAGAATATAATGAGTTTAAGATTTAACAAATGCTGAGGTGGGGCGGGGGGGGGGGGGCAGCAATGTATTTCAGTCCTTCCAGTGATTCCCAGACTGTCCATAGTGAACTGGTAAAGGTGTCAGCTCAAGAAGGTGGTGGGGGATAACAGCATGTAATGTATGTGTGCACAGATGGTTAGATATAGAAAAGACAGATAGGTGGTTGGCGGAACAGGGTGTGAAGGTAATTGGGCCTCAATCTGAAGGCCAGTTATAGTCTCTTGAAGGTATTTGTCAACTTCCTCATAGTTTCATTTACCTTTCTAAAAATTAGGGTAGCATTTTCGCCATATGAAAAGATAAGAAAAGTGTGGGAAAGTGCTCGCCACGTTTTCAAAACTTGATTGTAGGTCAATGAAATCCGTTCATTCATTAGGAGCCTATGAAGCCACTGTCTGGAGCTAGTGGGCCCAGTGGCTTGTGTAGTGAAGGACTGCTGGCTTTGGAGGAGGAAGGCAAGATGACTTAGGGACTCTGTGATAGGAAGATGGGAAGGAGAAAACAGGAATGAGAGATAGACAGAACACAGACAGGGAGACAGAGACAGGATACAAAACAAGTAAAGGTGCTAACTTAAACTGGAATCGTGGAAGTGCAACCCCCACCCCACCTCCCTGGTAACCTCTAAAAAAGAGAGCTGGCATCATCTAACATAATTCATTCCTCCTTTAACCTTGTCTCCTCAATTAAGGCTGGAGAGCTCTGCTTTAAGATCCTTACACAAAACGCAGTGAGAGTATGTGTTCACAACTTCTCTGCTTCCCAATGTCTTCAGTCTCAAGAAAGAGGCATTTCCATCACCAAGAGGGGGGAAAAGGGGAATACAAAAAGTTTCTTTTTCTTTACAACCAATTCTGTGGCTTCTTCTTTAGGGGTGGTCATAATTAGTAGATCGGTTTATCTCAACTTCCCATAGCCTCAGCTTTTGGCCAGTCGTTGGCAGGGAAGTTCATTGCTAATCTATTGCAGCCCAGCTCCCACACTGAGCGCCTCAGAGACTACTGCCTGCCAAATCTGGGATTCCCAGGACATCAGGTCAAGCCACAGAGAGGTCCACCAGGGGTACATTCCACACATAGTTTCTGCTTTCTCTGGGCTCTGTCCTTTAACATCTGGGTTAACTGAATCGTGCAAACAGGGTCACTAGGCGCCGAAAACAGCTGGGCATGTGGCTGAGGCCAGACCAAACACGACTAGTTCTTAAAAACTGCTTCTGGATATCCCAGTGCCAAGTAGCATGCGTCACGTCTGAGCGCCGGTATGGAATGAGCAAGATCGGGTAGAGGTTGGACTTTGGGAACTAAGTGCACTTTTGAGGAGGCTTTTCACTTTTACGTAAGTTTTGAAGTTGGCTCCCTATCAAGGAAGGAGGTGCAAAATGACAAACTCAGTTTAAATACGTATGCTACCACTCACATGCTCCGCAATTTCTCGGAGACAGGGATGCGTGGGAAAACTCAGCAAATCCGAGCTCAGCTTTACTGTAAGAGTGGCGGCCAGAGCGGCTTAGCGCCTCCCTTGACTTTCGGAGGGTGCGCCTTTCCGTCTACTGCGCCTGCGTGCGCGCGCAAACCCCAGGCCCCGCCTCTCTGGTCGGGACGACAGACGTGCGCCGGGAGGCGGGCTGCGCATGCGCGATCGCCGCGTCAGCCACTTGCGCGGGGCCGGTGACTGAAAGTACCGGGTCGTGTGTGTTCATCGTGGGGGGAAATCTGCCGCGCAGCGTGGATCGGCGCGCGGAGACAGGGAAAAGCGTGGCAGAAAGCTCTGCCCCGGGCTGCAGGAGTCAGAGGTAGTGTTTTTTTTTCCTGTCCCCTTCCCAGCCTAGACCATATCCCCGCCCCGCACCCTGAGTCTCTCCTGGGGACCCCCTCTGCGCCTCCCGTTCTGAAGTGAGCCCCAGGCAAGGTCATGAAGCTGGTGAGGAAGGACATCGAGAAGGACAGTGCGGGGCAGGTCACCCTGGTCCCCGAGGAGCCCGAGGACATGTGGCACACCTACAATCTAGTGCAGGTGGGCGACAGCCTGCGCGCCTCCACCATCCGCAAGGTCCAGACCGAGTCCTCCACGGGCAGCGTGGGGAGTAACCGTGTCCGCACCACCCTCACCCTTTGCGTGGAGGCCATCGACTTTGACTCCCAAGCCTGCCAGCTCCGAGTCAAGGGGACCAATATCCAAGAGAATGAGTACGTGAAGATGGGGGCTTACCACACCATCGAACTGGAGCCCAACCGCCAGTTCACCCTGGCCAAGAAACAGTGGGACAGTGTGGTTCTGGAGCGCATCGAGCAGGCTTGTGACCCAGCCTGGAGTGCTGATGTGGCAGCTGTTGTCATGCAGGAGGGCCTCGCCCACGTCTGCCTAGTCACGCCCAGTATGACCCTCACCCGTGCCAAGGTGGAGGTGAACATCCCCAGGAAGCGGAAAGGCAACTGTTCCCAGCATGACCGGGCCCTGGAGAGGTTCTATGAACAGGTGGTCCAGGCCATCCAGCGCCACATCAACTTTGACGTTGTAAAGTGTGTTCTGGTGGCCAGCCCGGGATTTGTACGAGAGCAGTTCTGCGACTACATGTTTCAGCAGGCGGTGAAAACGGACAACAAGACGCTCCTGGAAAACCGCTCCAAATTCCTTCAGGTAAAACTCTTACCCAGAGATAGCTAAGAGTGGGCAGAGTGGTTCCTGATGTTTTAGAACTGGGAGGGGCAAAAGGCTTAAAACTTGGTTCAGCTGGGATGAAAATCGAATTAGCAAAGAGATCGGTGTAGTGGCTAGCACCTTCCTAAGGTAACTTTTGCTAAAGTCCTTAAATAGGTAACGCTTATTCATGCTTTTGTCTTATGCCATGTGGGCTGGTTAATGGATGCTTTCAACGATTCTTTGTCTTTCATCATTGTGATTCTAGGTACACGCCTCCTCTGGACACAAGTACTCCCTGAAGGAGGCCCTTTGTGACCCCACCGTAGCTAGCCGCCTTTCAGACACGAAAGCTGCTGGGGAAGTGAAAGCCTTGGATGACTTCTATAAAATGTTGCAGCACGAGCCTGACCGCGCTTTCTATGGACTCAAGCAGGTGGAGAGGGCCAACGAAGCCTTGGCGATCGACACGTTGCTCATCAGCGATGAGCTCTTCCGGCATCAGGACGTGGCCACGCGCAGCCGGTACGTCAGGCTGGTGGACAGCGTGAAAGACAATGCAGGCACGGTTCGGATATTCTCCAGTCTCCATGTGTCTGGGGAACAGCTTGGCCAGTTGACGGGAGTAGCTGCCATTCTCCGCTTCCCTGTGCCGGAACTCTCTGACCAGGAGGACGATTCCAGTTCTGAAGAGGATTAAGACTGACATTTAATAGTTGCTTCTGCTCCGTTACTTCTCGGCATCGCTTGACAGGTGCAAGAGCCGCGCTTGTTGATCTGATCGGGCTGGGATTTCCTGTGTGTTGGTCACACTAGGGCATGTATTCAAATGAAATAAACCAAAAGAAAAGAACGTCCAAGCATTGTGTTTTCTGATTAGAGGTTTTTTTTTTTTTTCCTAAATATCTGAAAACAGCAATTTGTGTACCTAAGTGAAAAAGTCTATTGTTTGGGTTTGATTCTACATGGCATATTTTCATTTCATTTAATGATTCTTTCCTCACTTCTTTCTAGTTTATTTTTCAAAATTTGACTACATTTACTACTTAAGTGGTAGCCAAACCATAAATAAAGCCAAGTCTGAGATACTATTTTCTTTTAGAGGTTTGTTGAACTAGTCGTTTCTAAAACTCTTGTTTCTCCGTGGTTGTTCTAATCATATTTTCTGCAGACAAACAGTTGTTTTCAGGCAGTGGAGGTCTGCTCTACCAAGGGTTCCCAACATAGTCTCAGGACCAGGACCTTAAAGCTGAGATGAGAGCCTGTGGTTCACTTCCTGCACCTCTGGGCACCTCTCCAACCTGGACTTCAGCTCTTTACACTGAAACCCTGCCACATTCTTTGGTTTGCCGAGAGCGTTATTTACTGTGACTTGGCCAGCGTTGCACTTTACAAGGTCCCTGTGGCGTTCGTCTGTGCTCTCTCATTGAGACTGGTCCATGTCATACGTGAAGAAAAGCATGTTCAGGGAGTTGAGTACCTTGGATATCTACGTGGACGTTGTCTAGCCCTTCTAACTGTAGATACAGAATTTATACAAATTACCACTAAGACTGTTTTTACTATATATGTGTGTGCCTTGGATTGGGAGCTTCAGAGATAGGGCATTGCAACTTCATCTTTGACAAAGCTCAGTTTAGCATGTGATTAGGACTTCTGTCTGCAGTCTGGATCAGCGATGCCTATGTCATATAAAGTTATTGTTAATCTGTGGGCTTTGTGGTATAACATGTTTGGGGTTATAATAAGTTCAATAAATTTGTTAACTTGTTTAGATTTTTCCTATGATGCTAAGAACTGGTACGATCATGATCTATCTTTACCTTCTAAAAATAACTCAGGTTGTCATTTCATCTTAATAATTAGCTTTAATATTAAGACTTGTAAAATAACTTAATAGGAATACAGAGAGGAAGTCATTACAGTCTTAAATTTAGGGCCTGGTTGGTAATGAATCCTGATCTCAGAACATAAATTACTTCTGTAATATATATCTCTAGTATTAAAATGAAGTCTAATAAACCCGTGAGTACATTTTTGGAGCAAAAGTTCACATTGCACAGCCGTAGCTTTGCGTTGGGAACCCTTAGTGCCTAAGCTGAAGCCCAGAGCAATTAAACAGCCTTTCACCCCTGGAAGTGGGTGAGAAGTCCTTCTTTTCTGCCAATTACTGAGATAAGCTGGGCGTGGTAGCCTGTGCTTTTAATCTTGGCAAGTTGGCAGAGGCAGGTGGGTCTCTGAGTTCAAGGACAGATGGGGCTGTGTCTTAAAGAAAAGTCACCAGGGTGGTTGCCGTAGGCTTCAGGGCCGAGAAGCTGATTCGGAACTTGGTATTTGCATGAGAGGTTGATTCCGAACTTACTTGTTGCAGACTTGTTAGAACCTTGAATCCGATGCTTTGCTCGGAGCCAGCCCCAGCTTGTTGCAGCGTCTACAGGTGATTGCTGTGTGAAATAAAATCTGATACAAATGTCAGAGCCTTTCCAAGCAGAATTAGGAAGTCAGACTGGGTTTCCAGATTTAAGTTCAACAGAATAGTCTGATGTGGCTCTAAGACCTCTAAGTAAATGCCAGTTTTTATGTATATAAAGTACATAGGAAATGTAACACTTAGTTTTTTAATTAATTAATTAATTTATTATTATTTTTTTTTTTTGAGACAGGGTTACTTTGTGTAGCCCTGGATGTCCCAGGACTTACTCTCTAGACCAAGCTGGACTTGAACTCAAGAGATCCTCCCACCTCCTGAGTGCTAGGATCAAAGGCGTACAACACCACCACCCACAGACTCCTCCTTTTCTTAAATTCACATTTTATGTTTCTGTCCAAAGTATAATTCATACTATACCATGGGAACAATACAAAAATAAAGATAAAAGCAAATTGAATTTAAAACTCTATTAATTATCATTGACTTTTCTAAAATTCAGAGTGGGACTTAAGTTTTGGGAAATTTTGCCTGCTGGTCATTAGGATGAACAGCAGCACCTTAATCTTAGATGTGGTGATGCACACCTTTAATCCCAGCACTCTCGAGGCAGAGACAGGCGGATCTCTGTGAGTTCCAGACTGACCTGGTCTACAAGAGCTAGTTCCAGGACAGGCTCCAAAACCACAGAATAACCCTGTCTTGAAAAACGAGAGAGAGAGAGAGAGAGAGAGAGAGAGAGAGAGAGAGAGAGAGAGAGAGAGAGAGAGAGAGAGAGAGAGAGAGAGAGAGAGAAGAAACTTAAGACTTTGAGACATGAAGCAACTGCAGGGCAGGCAGGTGTGCTCAGCACAGATGTGTCACAGGAAGGAGTCTGGATCCACCAGAAAGGGAGCCAAGCAGACAGATGGAAGTGAACTGTTTTACAAATAGCCACCACTCAGCTCCATCTGGGATGGACAGGAAGAGGCAAGAGGGTAAACAGGAAGACTGCTCAGAAGGGTTTGTAGTAAAGAAAGGAGAGGCATGGAAGCCGTAACCATGCAGCGCAGCTTACAGTCGGGATGCAAGGATGTGACCTGGGCTGCAGGATTTTCAGAGTTACAAAAGTAGACTCTAAAGATAAATTTCAGATTCTCCCAGTACTAGGTTGAAGCAACATTTGAAACAGGAGGTAAGAGAAGCTGACTTGGAAGAAGAAATAGTTTATTTCACATTGACGTGTACGGGACTCCTGGAGTGTTCTTTCTGTTTGAGGTTGGGGCCTCAGTGAGGTCTTCCCACATCAATCTTGTAGAGCTGTTACTTAAAAAAAAAAAAAAAAAGTATTGGGATGTTCTGATTTAATTTACTAAAAGTTGTTTTTATTATTCTATTTTTAGTGCAAGCAAGCATTAACAAGCTATAAGCCAGAGTCCTCAACTGCTCAGCCAAGGGTCATGGCCCCTTTGGGAGTTGAGTGGCCCTTTCACAGGGGTCACCTAGGACTTGCAGAAAACACAGATATTTGCATTACAATTCATAACAGTAGCAAGATTATAGTTATGAAGTAGCAAAGAAAGTAATTTTATGGTTGGGAGTCAGTACAACATGAGGAACCATGTTAAAATAGGAAGACTGAGAACCACTACTGTAAAATCTAATTTAGGCCAAGAAATTAGTTGCTGCCCAAGACGTCATGCTGCCTAGTATAATAGGTATCTTAAATTTTTTTTGCATCTGCCTTAGACCGGTGGAAAAATTTTTGCCAAAGTTTTATTTCTATCATAAGAGTAGAAATTACTTGTTTTGACATTTTATTTGAATTAGCCTGCAATTTTATTGACATATTTGCCGCTAAAACGAGTTCTCCGGCAATGAAAACCACCTAAAGTGAAGAACTCAAATACATGATTAAAAAGAACCACTAATCCAGGGTGGCATATTCCTTCCTATTACTTAGCCTTCAGAAGGCTGAGGCAAGAGGATGATGAGTTCTAGGCTAACCTCAGCAACATACCAAGATCTTATCTCGAAAATTAGCTGCATTTCAGATTAGGTTAAAAAAAATCCTTAGCAGGATAGTTTCCTTAGCATTGGTTCAGCGCTTTAATCCCTGTCTAGTGAACAAGATTCGACACTTTGATTGTATATTCTTTGAAACAGATTTCTAGACTGCTTCTTATATGTTTACTGTACGTGTAGAGATTAGGATGTAAGTCAAACATCTACTAATACCTTTATTGTTAAACAATTTTTGGTGGACATATAATTTAAAGATGAAAGCAAGCTTACTGATGAATGAAGTAGATGCGTTTAATTTGACATAAGGGATCGCATAGTTGTGGATGGTGAGCACCCATCTTCAACACTTTTGGAGTCGATCCATACATTTCTTCTATAATCAGTGCTGAGACTGCCAGGTGTCGTGAATGCATCGTAGGAAATAATAGAGGTACATTTAGGAACATTTCATACGTTCTTGGAACTTCTGGCCAAATCCATTTTACTTAACATGAATATGCCGCCTTGGCACCCCAGTTTGAGTGAACCCTACATAAAACACCTGAGACACTTGTAGGTTTAGGAACTGCTGTTTTGTGCTCCTAGAGAAACAGTGGTTTAGGAGACAAGACTACAATCATAGTCATTCCTAAGCATGTAGATATCAAATTATCATATAATTGGATTGTGTTAGCATGTTTAATTTAAAAGTTTGTTGAGTTATCTGTCTACTTGCTCGTTCATTATCCATTAAGATTGATTGCCCACCTTCCAACTATTTTTAGGATGCTAATTTAACGAATTAATGAAAAAATGCCTGTTTTCTATAATGTCAGAGAATTAGAGGACTTGGGACTATTTTGATTTCGGTGACATACTTGTCTTAGGAACAGTCAATATTGCGGTAGTTGCAGCATCTAGCAGACTGCAAATACAACAGAAATGTGAGCTGGAGGGCCCATGCCTGCTGTGCACAGGTTGATATCATTGCCCCCAATCTACAAATGGAGTAGCTCTGGCTTTAAATCTCAGGTCCTGTGGTAAGGGCTTTAAAATGCCTTAGTTCTCCAACAACCTTTTGAAAAAGATTTTATCATCATTTTCATATGAGAAAAATTAGAGAGCTAATGACCTAAATTACAACCAGTGAATGTAAAATGTACCCTATATTTCTGCTCCATTAAAGTGCATAAGAATGCCAATTCTGATTCCTAGTTGTCTTTTTTGGTATTGGTCACGTCTGTGTCTAGAGCAAAACTACTGAGGTAACTATATGATGTAATGAACTTACATTTATTTAAGTTTATTTCTTTTCCACTATGTAATGTACTGAAAAAATCAGCAGTTCAATCCTATGATTTTTTTTTTTCTGCCTAAAACATAACTGAGCATTAGAAAGTTTGTACAGAAGAAGCAAGCCCCTCCAGTCTGACAGGAAGTTAGCAAGCTTGTTTCAGTTTTGAATCTTAGCATCTCTTTATACCAGAGTGTGCTTACAGGTGGGCCTTTGGGCACCTGTGCCTATGAGGGCAGGGCAAGCTTTGGTGTAGTTTCTTAGGCACCAGCACTTTTATTTCTTATTTGAGAAAAGGTCTCTTCTGACCTGCAACTTGCCAGAGAGGCAAGGCTTCACTGGCCAAGGAATCCCAGGAATGTCTCTGTCTCTACCTCGCGAGGGCTCAAATACAAGATGTCACTACACTGGGCTTTTATGGTTTGAAATCTGGGGATCAAACCCAGGCCCTGCTGCTTGCAAAGCAATCGCCCCCCAGACCCCCCGCCAAGCGAGCTCTCCAGCCCCTAAACTTATCACAAAACATGATGACTTTAACACATATTCATTTACTAAGCATCTTCATAGCTGCATTTGTGATACATGTATATGCAAATTAGATACTGGAAAACAATTGCCACAAAAGGCCAGGCTTACAGAGAAGGAAAAGTGGCTGCTAGAAGTGACCACTACAACAACAGCCCAGTTGAATCCTGAGACCCTATCAAGAGATATGTAAAGGGTTAATGAATCTTTTTCTATGGCCTGCAGACCCGTTTGTGGAATAGCAGCTAGTGTTCCCAGTGAGGAAAAGACTGACTTAACATTAGCTTATTCTGTCAAAGAAGTCAAGAAACTACAATGTTATTCCAAATGATTTGTCTATAAAATGATGATGATGATGATGATGATGATGATGATGATGATGATGATTGCAGTGCCAGGGAGCAAACCCACAGCCTCCTTCCTAGGCAAGCACTCTATTGCTGAGTACCTGGATAGTGTCGTGGATAAAATAACAGTCTCAAATACCCAGGGTTTTTCCAATACCACAAGAGTCTTCATAAGAAAATTCAAATGCATATTAGAAGCTGGATTGTCTTTTAGGAGAATAATTGCAGTAGAATTCTGGTTATGAAATGTGTTCCGAGGCAGGAGGTCCTTCTGAGTTCAAGTCTCAGTTGCAGATGTTTTAGGTCTGGAATTTTTCATCAGGCCCTCGTGTAAACACTGAGCAGAACTTTCTGCTTGACACCACTGTGAAAGATTGCTCTGTGGATGCAAAACATTAACCTTGTGTTTCAGCTCATTTGATCTGGCCACTGTAATTTATAGCTTATTTTCCTTCTGCAAGTATGTGTAAGAGTGTTTTTAAAGAGGGCAAGGAGAGAAGGACTAAGATATACTTCAGTAGACCACGCCCAGCCTTTTAGCATCATAACTGGTGGAATCTGAAAGGACCTCTGAACAGTAGGTATAATCTGAGGCCAATCAGGCTTGTCACATGCTCCAAGTCACACAAACAGGTTTTCAGAATGTCTGCATTTCTGTTTGATTTATCCCATTCCCATTTCAAATGTGTTTCCTTGCCACCAGCACATATTAGGAGTATACTGGATAAGCTAAGGGAACGAGACAGAATCAGGATTTTATTGGGCTTTAAGCCCTCCTATTCGCCAACTATTCTTCATCTTATGGGAGGGTAGTTCTCTTCAGCATCATACGTGACACTCAGAGGCATGTTTTCAATTCCATTTCTGCAACCTGCCTGCCTTTTTCCCAAGCCACTTACCAGATGCCTACTTGGTGTCAGTACACTGTGAGCCTCCACAGGTCCAAGGCAAAGAGAGAGTACAGTCTCTTCCTTCCAGGGCAAAATGAAGACATGTCAGCCAGGAATGTGGGGGCCCAGACAGGTCACTAACCCAGCCTGCCTTCGTGAAGACTTGTTGCCAGACCTGAAACTACAAAGACATGGAAGCCCATGACCATCTCAGATTGCTCTCTAGAGATGAGGCAAAGGTGGGGGGGGGGGGGTTGAGAGCATTCTCCTTTTAAATTCCCTCAGCGTTCCTTTACTAATTTGTTTAAGGTGTGGTCCTTTAGCCTTTAGTTTCTCTGGATATTACATATTTATAGTGTAATTAACAAACTTAGAAGAGGAGACATGGAAAGGGGGGGCTATTACACCAATTCCCACCCTAGAGATAAGGGAAAATTGTTAAAGTCTAATGAAAAGTACTGAGAGGAATTTGGGCAATGCTGGAGCCTTTGGTGACATTCGTGATATTGTTATCCTCTCTGTTACTGCATAGCGAATCACAGGAGGATGCTGAATTAGAACAGGGAGTTTGGCTTGTTTCTCTGCAGCGCAGCAAAGAAGCGATAGTGACTGAAAAGTCTAAGATACTGTTCTTGACAGCTACTCTTGGTAGAAAAGAAAAGGAGAGGAGAGGAGAAGAGGGAGGGAAGGGGAGGGGAGGGGAGGGGAGGG